CAATCACCAGGATGCAGCCATAACGGAGGACTCTTGATTGGCAGCTACGAAGCATGTTGGCCAGACAGACCCACCTAGGACTTGCTGTACCATTACAAAATCCCCAGCTCTCTCTGCCTTCATGTCTTTGCTTTAGCAAGGTTTGCATCCTACTCCATACCGTAGGCTTCATATGCACACCCTAAGTTAGCTGAGCTGTGTGTTAGAGTTGTGAACATGTCAAGTTAGCCAAGGGAACATAGTTCCTTTCTCTGCCCAAAGGACTGAAATGTGCCATTGTTTATCTTCTTTACCTTCCCAACAGCTGATGCTGCAAGTCTGTACTGCAGGACATGTGTGTAGTTCCAAAAGCACCAGTTCTCATTCCCTTTTTGTACAGATAACTAGGAGCAAAGAAAAGCGTACAGTGAAAGTATTCATTGAGGAAAGAAGCTGGGACTATATAAAGTACATACATAATGATATTTAATGGTTTATAGAGACTGTAAAAGATCATAGTTCAACCATGGCAATAGTGATACAATAATGTGAGTTACTATAATAATCTTAGCAAGTAAATATAATAATCTTAGGAGCATACAATCATAGTAAATATTAGTAGCATAATGTTATTGTTGTTGTGTTGTGGTTAACCCAGCCTGCTAAGGTCAGCACTCTTAGGTGCTAAGGTCTTTTGAATCCCCATAGAGTGTATGGAAGTCAGAGGAGAGGCATCCTACCTGTCTTGTCAGTGGAAATGTCTGTTCATCTGGCCAGCAGTTTGTTCTCAGACTCCAGGATCCTCTGCACTAGTAATCTTCTGTTGATCACACCATACAGTCTTTGAGTTTTCTTTGCATCCCCCACAAAACTCCTTTTGTATTTCACTAGCTTCTCCAGGTGCTTCAAAGGAGGCAGTTTTAAACCTGATCCAAAGAAAACCACTCACTCGCACCTTGATTGCAGCTGTCATCCTGCAGCCAGTTCCATACCTGACCTAAAGATAGGCAGTCACTTCTGCAGATGTCTCAACTGTGTTATTAGTGTTTATTCATTCAGTGGCCTAGATATTTGCTGGATAAATGTGCTCATTTTAGTAGCAATGGTTAGCTTGTTATAGGAAATTGTAACTATATTTATGATGGGTTGACATTTTACCTGCAACTCCCCTTGGCTCAACAGTCCTCTACTCCTTGACACTCTTAATGTCATTAGAGTTTGATCAAATTTCCAGCATGTTTCTAGTTCAGGCACCTACTTTGGCTTCTTGTGAAAAGCAGGAGGAATAGGGAAGGAAAGAGATGGGGAGGAAGTTGATGGCAGCATGGTAAGTCTGGTCTTTTCCTGCCAGTATTTCTGTAACATAGTACACAGTGAAAACAATCTGCGTGTGGAAGCATAGTAACGATTTTAGGAGTAGCAAGGTGTTATACATATTGAAAATGTTTCAGTGTCTCACTGGGTTAGGTCCATGATTCTGCATATGGTAGAAGACATGAATACGTGAGTGAAGGCCAAGTAGGCAATGGTACAAATACAACATCATGATACAAATACATCAAATTTTGTGATGTTGGATAAAAATGAAACTGTTCTCGTCCTTCAAGTTTGTTGGAAGCAAATTTTTTTGAATGCAATATTTCCTGTCCCCAGGAAAGTCAGAACACTGGAAAGATTGTTTTTAGTCATATTTTTAAATTTTTCTTGTTGACTACACCTAAATGATTTCATGTGAAGACACTACTTTAAAATTTTTGTGTGTATTAATATTTTCCTTGTATAATTTTATTTCCTCTGAAACAATTTCAGACCTAAAGTATGCCATTTTATGAAACACCACAGCTTACATTTTTTATTACAAAAATAAAAATACTGCCAGGTCTAGATGAATTCTCATAACCGGTCCTTTAAATCGCTTTTGATGTAATGTAATCTTTCTCCAAAAGGAGAATACCTATGTCCAAAATAAATTTGTATTTTAATGTTATATATATACTAGGGAAAATGTCTTTTTTCTACATGTTGTAGCATTACTACAGGTAGGAACGAAGAAAAAATAATTTCTGTATTTGGCATTAGTGTCAGTAAGCTGGAACAGTAGAATCTGCTTGTCCTTAATGCCCTTTTACAGTGAAAAAGCTCTTTCCAGTCAATGTATGACCAAATTCCACAGCTGCCCTGTAAGACTGGCTGTAAGTTGTAAAATTTAAGGTCTGTCTAGGACTGTGCAATTCTCTGATGGCAATCAGTAGGGGCTTCCTAAGGAAACATGTCAGGACAGGCTGACAAGTACAGTGCTAATTTCTTCATGTGATCTTTGGGCTTCCCTCTGTCCTAGCACACAGTAGCACTTGAGTGGTTGCTTTTGCTCCACAGTTTCCCGTGGCCTGGATGTTTGTTCAACAAGTTCATGAGCTGGAGGATCAACACATGTTGAGCTGATACTTGTTTCGAGGTGGAGAACTTGAAAGCACAGTAACCTGTGTGTTACTATGATTTTTGTTGTCTCCACTGCTGCTCTTGTCTAGCTGGCATAGGAAGGTACAGTCTGTAGACAAATTACACTGGGGATCACCTAGAGACATCTACCTGTGACTTGAGAGGGAGAGTGAGTATCAATCAGCCATACAGACTGACCACAGTCTAGCATTGCATGCCATTCCCCCTGCATGGTAGTGGGTCCTGTGCTTAATCTCCTCTGTGGTGTGCAGCCCTGTAACTACGGGTTGATCAAATGCTTTCTTTGTCCCAGGTATAAATGGAGACATCATTTAACATCTCTCTCATGAAATCTAGTCTGACCAGTAGGTGCAAAAATCATAAGACAAATGGCCCTAACGAACATTCTGGCTTGAAAGAATTGATTTAGAGTGTTTTTGAAGTTACTGGCTTCAGCTTTGTAGGCTATCATCCTAAATATTAATGATGATGGAGAAAGGAAGTAAAAAATATTGCCTTTGCTTGGCAATGCTTGGAAGGAAATGTTTCTAGTCAAACCTAACAGCCCTTTGAAATCAGAAAGTCATGATAGCAGGAGTGCACTTTTGGCTTTACTGGTAAACAATTTGGACTATTTTTAATTGGAAAAATGAAAATAAAAGAATAGTGAAAATAAGATCTACTTCATGTCTATTCAGTAGTACCATATCAATGATAGTTGAAAATATTAAGTACATGGTACCAGCATAGTTCTTTAATGTTTTTCAAATAATATCTGATTTTCTTTTTGATGTTCTTTTCAAGCTTATTCATGCAAAATGTTTTGCTGGCCTCTGCATGGTTTTAAGTTAGTTACTTTATAGCTCCGATGTACTAAGAACAATCTTAATTCTATTTGGTACTTCAGTTAAAATTTAGGCATAAGTAAAGGAATGGCTTTTACAAAGCAATAATTTTGAAACTGATAGCTGCTACAGCAAACTTGAATGCCTTTCCTCTTCCTCACAAAGGTCAAATTCCTCCCTAATGTAGCTGAAATGAAAGGATTGTAAGCAATTGTGCAGGTGCTTTTGATGTCACTGGTGGCTGAGGAGCTGATAGGGCAGGAACAGATGTAAGCAGCCATTAAGGCAGCTGGTTAAAAGGTAAAAAGACTGAGCAGAAGAATGTTGCTGCCAGCCTGTGAGCTGTGGGCCTGGGGACCAGAATTATCCTTGAAATGTGCAGCTGGCCTCTTTGCAGCACAGCTGGGCGCTGAGAAATGGGAGGCTTCCTGACTTTGCATCACGATCAGAGTACCAAGAAAGTTTAACCTCCATTTATCATCAGAAAAAGTGGAAACAGTCTGTTAAATTTGAATTGGTCTGAATAAACAGAGTAGGTCTCTGAGCAACCTAATCTAGTTGAAGATGTCCCTGCTTAGTGCAGGGTGGTTGGACAAAATGGCCTTTAAAAGCACCTTTCAATCCGAACCATTCTATGATTCTGTAATAGAGGGTAGCTTGCAGGTATACTCGTTCCTGTAGATTTGCACGTGACAGTTTGAGTCGATTTTTTTGTTTTTACTTTGTAGCACCATAACCTTCAAAACAGTGCAAACACTTACGGAAATATCAGTGTAACCTGAGGAGTACTGAAATGTATGAAGACTATTCACTGATGAGGTTTGGTTGTGCAGAAATTGTTTACCTTGGACATTCGTTCAAACTAGCAATTGGAAAGGATATCCTAGTCACTGTGGGAACTGAGATATTACAGCATTTCTCTCCCTAGCCTGATTCACAGATGCGTATCTTTACTTCTCTATTAAATATAGCATTTTGAATGTAAAATCATAAAATGAGATTCTGGTTACTTGTGTAATGTCTTAGTAGCATGCCTTTATTTCTCAGTGGGAGTAGCAAATTTCAGGTGTCTGTTCTACTCACAGGCTTAAGGACGTTTCTCTTCAAATAGTATGAGCCAGCTGAGTTTCTAATGAAGGTTTATTTTCACAAAGAGTTCTTTCTGTCCCATTTATACAAAGAAAACATGGATGAAGTGGTATAGCATATGTTCCACATGAAAATATCTGAACCTGTCATTTTCACTGCAGTCCTGTCTGTCCTGTCCTGTTTGCTTTGTTTTGTTGATAATTACTTTTTCCCTGAACTTCTGCCACATCCATAAACCTTTACAATAAAATGCTGCAGATGAAATTTCAGAATGATATTGGGCTTTGGATTTGAGTATCAGACTGTTAACTGAAGAGAGGAAGATCAACATCAGTAGAATGTCACCCTAAAACTTTAACACAGAGCTTATATTCTCTTTACTAGGCCCACAGCTGCATAGTCCCAGTTTCTCTCAGGTGCTTGTTTCTGAGTGATCTGAGCAGGTGACTGTCTTGTCTTGTGAAAGCTGTGAATCCACTTGGCTATTCTTAGGGACAGGTTGGGTTCTGGTGTCTGTGTAAAAGAGCAAAATGAGAATATTAACAGTGATGTTCATACTGGAGAATATGAGGCACCATGTGCAATGGCTGGCTTTGTCAGCCATCCTGTTCAGTGGGTGACTGACAATGTGTTATCTCTCTCCTGCAGTATGGGATAAAGAAGAAGGAAGAAAAGGAAGCAGAGGCCCAGGCTGCACTGGAAGCTAATGCTGAAGGGAGTCTGACACGCCCAAAGAAGGCGATCCCTCCTGGCTGTGGGGATGAGGAGGAGGAGGAAGAAGAGAGCATTCTAGACACAGTCATCAAATACCTACCAGGGCCCCTGCAGGACATGTTCAAGAAGTAATAGCTGCAGACTGTTAGATGGGCATAAACAGTACTGCAAAGGATTTCTCTTTTGCCCAATGGGGATTTACAATCTTGCCATCCATCATGCAGCCCTCCCCACCTCTGCCCTCTACTGCTCACTAGGAGTCCCTTCGCTTCCCATTCCCTTCTAACAGCCTCTTTCCCTTTCCTCCACCCCAAGACTTATCCATTCCTTTTTTGTACATAGTCTCACATCCAGTAGATGCCTCTGAATGGATGTAAGGATTAAAAAGCTGCAGACTACACAACTTTTATTATAAGCCATAGTACTATGTATGTTAAATAAGGCAACTGCACATCAAGCATAGAAAAGGAACAATCTCATTTCCATCCAGAGCAAGAAGGAGTGTTCACTAAGTATGAACAGTGGCCTCTTTAGTTTTTTTAATTATCTTTTTTTAATTATTATTTTTGATAATAATTAGTCATTATTATAATGTTCTTGTTGATTAGGTCACACTAGCCATTTTTTGTTGACGACATCTGCTCTTGGCAGGGATATCTCAGTTATCCCATGGAAGCAGAGCTTTTCAGTTTTAATTCCATTGCTGACATAAATAAAAGATCATTTGTAAAGTAAATCATGCATGACTTACACAACTGACATCACGCAGAACTGTGGAAGAAGTGAGTCATCTGCCCTCAGATGCTGTAGAAGTTAAATGCCTCAGAATCTAAGCAAGAGTCATGTTGCTTTGGGAATTAGCCATACACTTAACTTGAAAGAGCAAATTGGTGAGACAGTTGCTGTACAGAGAGCTGAGACCGCAGGAGAGTGCATGGTGCTCTGGTAGAGGACCTTCCCAGCCCCTCTGAAGCCAGTGACCAAGTACATTTGCTGCTCTGTTTAACCTTCCTCTTTCTACCCAATACCATATTCAACACTCGCATTTCCAGCACTGTTTTCAGGCTGGGCGTTTGAGTTTCCAGCATATTGTTGTGGCTGTGTCATGCCCACCTCTTCCTGCAGTGTGTGGGTGTGTGTTGTGGCTCAAGTGTTAGTTATGGCCCTGGAGATCCAGAAATTCGGGGTATGCCTGATATGTATTGTGCTAAATTACTGCCTTGCCTTGGGGAGGTCACTTATTTTTCTACCCCAATGGCAAAATGTAGGTTTTGGTCTCTGCCTGCTATAAAGGCATGAAGTGAGGGTGCTTCTCCAGTACTGTGCAGGAGCTCATTAATATTAGTGCAGAGTGTGGTATCCCTTGATGCTAATAGGTTGGGAGGAAGTCTCTTTCTCACCATTTTTTTGTTGCCTTTTGCAGACACAGGTACAGAGGGCTTCTCAGGACAGCACTGTAGGTATGAAGTAACTACAAAAGATAAATAAAATTCTATGGGAGATGTTGACTTGGTAGTACATGCATAGATTCAATACATAGACAGACTTATTTTGAACATACATTCTCATGATCAGGTGTCTGGCTGGTCATCTGAAGAACTAGTCCTGAAATTTTGCATTTGGCTATGTCTCTGTAGTTGATACTCTGAGAGGATCATGCCATCTCAGTCTTATGGTCTTGTAAAAGAAATCAGGGTTTGTCTATTGGAACTAGCATTGCTTATCCCTGTCCTGGGAAAAATAAAATTTCCTAAATATGTGGAAGAGATTTGAAAGCCAACACACACTTTTAGCTGGCAGTAAAAAGGAGAACAATCTCAGACACTTCATTGTGTACCTAAATGAAGCATTTTACTTCAGTGGAACTTCTTTGTTGCACTGGTTCAGTGGAACTGAGTTTGGGCAAACATCTCAGTATTTTCCTGAATAAGAAATTTTAGAAGATATTTATCATCTTTTCAGGTAAGCAGAGCAAATCTACACCGTGGTTAAGGCAGTGAGCTTGTGAGCTCTGTACCTTCCAGTAGCATCTCTTATAATAGGGGAAAAATACTATGAAAGAGAAGAAATACAGCATTCCCTCCTCACCCAATTCTTATTCAGGTATTATAGTCCTTACTTCTTCCCAAATAATTTTGACTGTAAATTTCTGCTGAATCCAAGGTGGACTCTGAGGAAGTTTGACTGATCTACAAGTCAGAACAAGCTGATAAAGATGCAACTTATTTCAGGCTGGATCTACAAACAGGACATGCTCTTTCAAGTATAGGCTGCCAAGGGCTATCCAGAAGAAAGAGAAAGCAGGTTTTATTCATGTCAGTGGGCCTATCCTACCCTAACTTTCATTTAAAGCAAGATGAGTGTCTCTCTTTTAAGACTTTTAATGACCCAGAACGCCCTGTGAGTAAGTGCTTGGATATAGCACAGCAGTGTTGAACAACGTACCATTTTCGAGGGAGAGTGCCCTACTCACCCTATGCAAACTCAGCAGCTAGTAATCTGTGCCTGTTTAAGTAAACCTCAAAGAATTGAAAACCCTCCTTTTTTTCGTAGAGGCAGCAGCTCCTTTTGATGCTCTACCACAGAGCACCCCTGAAAGCTGCAAGTCAGAGGCTGGATCTTTGCTTCAGCCCCTTTTTGGTAGTTAAGTATCCTGAGTTAGATCACACTGATATACAGACATCAATACTTTTGCAATGCCCTCATTAATCTCCGTGGCCTGCATCTGCCTCTGCTAAAAGAAACGTGTCCCTTCATATTGTCCCCTGGCCTTGTGCTGGAGAACTCTTGCAAGCAAAGAGGATAAACTTGCTCCATTTTCCTTTGGCTTTTCCCTACCACTTGCTTGTTGACCTTTTCCTGACGCCATCCTTGACTCCCTTCCTCATCCACCAAATACTGTTCCTGACACAGTATCAGAATTTTCTGCCTGGCATCCTCCCTGCAGAATGCTACCGCTGATTATTTTCACAGTCTCTCTGGCAGCTTGATGTGCATGTTTGTGCACATATGTGTGGACAGTTGGGAAATTAGAGAAGAAAGGGACAGGAGAGATAAAGGAGGAGTGTTTGGTACAGTTTTGTCTAACTGCCGCAGCAGTTGTGCCACTGAATGACTGGTCCAAAAGTCAGGATCCTGTGTGGCTTGTGCTCAAATTTCTCAAGCAGGTACTGCTATCCCTGGGCTCAGAACATTAAAAATACTCCTTTTGTGAGCTGAGCTCCTGAGCTATGTGAACATCTGGATTGAAACACTTAAGAAGTCCATAGGAACTCTCTACTGAGTCTGGTAGGCCTTGTGCCAGACTCACAGAGCAGAAGGGAAAGGGAAGGTGGTCTATTAAATAGAGTCTACTGAGTCTTTTCCATTATGGGAGCTTCCCAGCTCAGCCATGTCATCACTTCTGTACCTCAACATCTGCAGCAAACCTTCCTCCGTGGGCAGCAGACAGTTCAGCCAGGTGTGAGCTGGTAGTTCCCATTTTCCTTTCTTTTCAATTAGAAACATGACAGAAGATCTATCATAGGTGCTGGGTAGGTTTTGCTTGGTTTTGCCTCACGTGACTCTTGGCATGCTGCATGAGTTGTGGACCTCTCCTCAAGTCATTCCACTGTCCCTGAAGTGCCTAAGCCATGCTGAAGAGACTCGAGAGCAGGCACTCTCCCCTCTCTCCTGCCCATCTATTTCCCTTCCCACTCAGAACTGGCAACAAGGTACACAGACACCTTTGGCTCATGTATGGAAGTGAGAGGAATTGTCTCAGACAGTTTTCCCCTCGGCACTCAAGCAGGTGATGAAGCACTTAAACAAGACCAAAGAGAAGCATGGTTCATTGTTTGGATTCTGAATATCTCTTTGTCTTTTCATGACATTGTTTTATTTGCATCACTGGTCTGTTCAATCTCAGGTAAATGAGGTATTTTAATTTTATAACAGGTTTTTATTTACACAGAAAGGTTGGTGGCTAGACACTGCAGTCATTTTCCCTCACAACTCCAAGACCTTACTGGTTAGGTAAAAAATAGTCAAAGGGCCTTCACATTTGGAGGGTAAATGATTTAGTTTGCCATTGACCTTGTAAAATCACATTTGTATTTAGAGAAAGCCATATGAAATCAGACTGCAATATTAATTATGAATGCTACTCTTGTGTTTAAAATGAATAAAACAAAATGTAAGATCATATGCTAAATCACTTTGGAGTTCCTCTGTCTATGTTTCTAGTATCATACATTGACTTAGATCCTTCCCAACCCCTCTCCTTCATCAAAAAAGACCATACCAATGCTGCTGAATACATCTTTTTGCCAAGCTTACTGTGCTAGAATAAGCATTGTTAGAAATTAGTTGTTGTGATCTAAATGTAAAGTCTTATGTATCTGAAAGTTGTCTGTATCTGTTCTGAATATATGTTATCAAGATAACTGTTTCTTCATGCACTGAGTTAGTAAAATGTTTCGGTATTGTCATTAAAAAATTGCCTGTTTTCTCTTTCTCTCACACACAGAGCAAAATTCAACTTAGCCATGCATTTTCTAGCAAAAATGCTCCCCAGCTTTCTTTCAGATGCATGCAGCACTAGAAGATGATTTAAAGTAGAAACTTTGTGAGTGTGATTTTAATTTGTTATTTTTCTGGTACTTTTTCCTGCATGATATGGGTAAATGGTATGATGTTCTTTTAAAATGGAATCACAGCCAATAAAAAACCCCAGTGATTTCATAAATTGTTTGCAATGCTTTCCTGTGAAATTGCTACAAGGCTACACTTGGAAATCAAAGTATGGTTGCTGGTGTACAAATATAATGGCAACAGACTAGAGGAGAAATATGGATGCTATTTGAATAGATATGCTCATTTTTTCATCTGTCAAAAACACTGGTGAGATTTGACATCTGCAGGTGATTATCAAATTTTAAATCAGTTTTGCTATTAGGAGTTAGTTTTCCTTAGAAGAGAAAAACAACACTCCTTTAAAAGAAACAGACATCTAACTAAGGTTTAATGAGAATATGTTTGGATCTTAAGGCAAAAAAGGTAAAACACTAATTTGCAAGGACACCAAATGTGTCTCGGGATCCAGAATTTGTGATATATATAAAACTCTTTGGATGGCAAGTTACACACAGCTAAACCTCATTTTACTTGCTCAGGGACAAATCAGTAGTTGTTATATTCAGCATGAAAGTGTTGCATCATGTTAGAAAAAGATATTACCATACATCTCATAGGAAAAGCTGATACTCTTTCCCCTAGGAAAGCTCTTCTGTAGGATCACTGCATGGTGATATAGTTTTCTTGGGTTTTTTTGCTGAAAGAAGCAGCCACAGGACTGTCACAGAGAATCAACCCATATGTTACATGATGTAACACCTACTCGGACTTTGAGCCCAGCACTGCCAAAACTAACAAGTGCTAATGCTGCTGCAGGCTGTGAGTTCCAGGGCAGGCTCTCCATCTGCTCTAAGTTCCATGAAAGGTCTGTGTTTGAGGAAGATGACAGAGCAAGAAAATATTTCTCACTGGTTCCCCTAAGAAACAGCCAGCTCCAGGGAACCAGAATAATCATATCAGACCAGTGTTGTTGGGGAGAAGGTTCAGGTACCAAAGAAGGGAAGCAGATGATTTTGACAGGTTTCATTTTGCAACAGAGGTAAATTATTCTTTCAAACCAGTTTCTACCTTTTTATAAAAAAAAATATAGAAGGATACAGTGGTAACGCTGGTGCAATCTACCTTCTACTATTTTAAAAGTACACTTTGTCAGATAAAATATTCTCCAGAGCAGAACATGACAAGAAATCAGCAGGCACATCATGAGTGCTTCTGGTGAAAAATCACTCCAGTTATGGAGATGCATTAGTGATCTATTTATCAGACATTGATCCTGGGATGCAATGATTAGCCCTACTGGAAGCTCCCAGCCTTCACATACTTGAGGTAGAAATTAAACTTCCAAATGGAAAGCTGTGTGCAAAGATACTCACCATGGTTTGTTCTGATTAAGTCTATTTTAATGGCTTGATTTAATTTTCTTCCTGACATACCATGGGTAATGTAGGCCCAATAAAGTTCTCTTTGAAAACGGGACTTGAGTGAAGCCTACTAAACAGTGCTGGCACGATGCTGTTCTTTATGTTGGCATCCCAGGAGGTTTGTGGCAACTATCAACATCCCCAGTTAAAAAATCCCAACCGAAATTTCTCATTCTCCCTCTCCAACCATCCCTCCTCTTTTAAAAAAAACCAAACCAAATCAAACCAAAAAACCAACCCGCCCCCTAAAAAAACCCCAAACCAAAACCCTCCCCAAAAAAACCAAACCAACAAACGAAAAACCCTGCAAAACCCCAACAACTAAGGATGTAACTGCATTGGGATATTCCTTGTTGAAGATAACTCTGTTACAGCCTGTCTCTTCGGATTTTACGGACTGTTTGAGATAGGTGGTAAAAGTACATCTGAGAAAGGCAAATGGCTGGAGCGTGTGATGCCAAACACCCATGCTTCCTTGAGCCTTCAGTATTTATAGAGAAGCTGAATTCTGCTAGGGCTGTGGGATGGAAATACTTTTTTCATCTGAGATTTACTTTTCTCTCAAACCCTATTTTTATATGAGAGGGTCAGATACAGCATTGTATTTGACAAGCTCAAGCTGCAGCAGTCGAGCCTATTTTGAGTTAGAAAAGGATTGTTTAAAATTTATGATTATCATAGTCTCTCAAGACCAAGGATGTTCCATGAAAAACAATGAAAACAAAATTCTTGGTTTTTTCGTTTGTTTTAAAAAAAATGAAAACAGATGAAGAATAAAACTCTTAAGACTTTAATATTAATAAGTAATGTAAGAGTTTAATGAAGAGGGAAAATTTTGCAAGCCTCTTTCCTGCCTCTCTCCCACTAGTAGCTCTGAGTGAAGGCCCAGGAGAAGTTGCTTGCAGCATGGAAAGCAATGCTTAGGGCTGAACAAACGCAGAGTTCATTGTGAGTGATGACCCGTAGTCATGTGACTTCTTGTAGTCACTGTCAGACAGGAGACTGGAAGTCTCCAGTGAAGACAGTTCCCCATGGAAGCAGGCTGAGCTACATCCAGGATCTCAGATACGGTACCAGCTGCTGTTAGGGTAGAGGTACAGGCCTGCCAGAAGGAGCCTGCTGCCCAGCAGATCTGCTGTGGCAGAACGGTACTGTTGGGTCAAGAGAGCAGAAATGAGTGAAAACATTTTTTACCAACTCCACCCTGGCACTAAATGTCTCATATCTCCATTGCCATGTTATTTGCAGGGTTCATTCCTTCTGTGCCTGTCTGTTGACGTGGAGCTGGGACCTCTGCCCTCACCATTACCAATTTGTAACATTAGTAGTTTCTTTGTTCTCTTGTCCCTTATGCCAGCCATCTCAGGCATGCTAGAGGTTTTCCCAGGCAGAAAAAAAGCTGGTGAAGATCAAGTTTCAGGCAGCAGAGGAGACAATTCAGCTTGGCTTTCAAGGGCAGCTTGGCAAGCTGATGTCCGCGTTTGTTCTGAGAGATCACTCCAGAAACTGCACACTGTGCCAGCAGGTTCCCAAGAGTCACTGGAACACAAGAAGGTCAGTGACAGCATACAGTACCTTCATACTTTGCTTTCTGCTTCCATACCTCCTTCCTTACTACCCTTCTACCCTCTTTTCAATGATCTGCCTAATGGAATCCTGACTCTTTGGTTATCAACACATTTGATGAGAACC